CTCTTTCTCCCCCCTTTCCCATTTCTCTAAAAATAAATAAATAAAATATCTTAGAAAGGTGAAAAGACAAGCTAAAAATTAGAAAATATTTTAGCGTATAAAAAAACTCAATGAAGATCGAGTTTTCAATGCGTATTTCAATGCATAGAATCCAACAATGGATTATTATCCAGAATATACAAAAAAATCTTACAAATCAATAAGAAAAAAATGAACAACCCAACAGAAAAATGAGCATATGATAGGAACAAAAACTTTTCAGAAAAGAAAGACAAAGGGACAAAAAAATCCAGTAGCTGCAATAGAAACAGACTCGAAGGCGGAGAGAGCAGACCGAGAGCTGCCAGGGCACTGAAAGTGTCAGGGACGGGCCGATGAAGGTGAGGGGCTGACCTGAACTGGCAGTCACAGAATGGTCGTGGGGATGTGAGGTAGAGCACTGAGAATATAGCAATGAAGAAAAATAGTAGCTAGTAATCAGGGAATGCAAATTGGAACAATGACCTTTCATTTCACATCTGTGAGATTGACAATGGCTGAGAGCATAATACCAACCATTGAGGATGTGGAGAAATGGAAATTCTCATACACAGCTAATGACTATAAATCGGTACAATCACTTTGGAGAACAATTTTGAACTATCTGACATAGCTGACAATGAGCATATACCCTAAAGAGCCCACAATGCTATTGCTAGATGTGCATCTTGGAGAAATTTTTCTACACTATCCACAAGAATCCATAGATAAAGATGCTTTGGTTAGAACTGTGTATAGGAGAAACAAATATATCTTTAAAGTCTTAATAAGAGAATGAATAGATAAAGAAAATTTGGTATACTAATAGAATGAGATATACACAGCAATTAAAATAAAGTGAATTAACTTTATTTAAAACTATCAACATAAGTAAATCTTGAAACACAGTGCAGAATCCTGAAAGTGTCACTGCCCCCCTGGCTGATCTCTTCCTTGGAAAACTGCAACAATCCAACTGCTTCCCATTCTCGTCCCTTCTTTTGCCATCTCCCACAAGGCAACTGTGGCATATCCTGCTTATACCTTTAATGGTTTCCCATGGCAGCCTTAATAAAATCCAAATTCCTTACCAAAGTCGCTTTGCCCTTTTGTAATCCCCTGAGCCCCCCTTCTCCTAACCTGCACCCCTCAGACCTCACTTACGTCCACCCTCCTGGTGTTTACAGGGGCCTAGCCTCAGTGCTTGTATAGTTCCTTCCACGTACAGACCAACTCCACTCTTATGTGAGAGCATCAGCACTTCCTTGCTGTTATTTTTGCTTGGCTTGTTTTATCATTTAGGGTTTGATTTTAAGGCAATATCCTCTGCAAGGCCTTTCCTCAGTGTCCTGCCAATCCCCTCGTTCCCCCAGCTCTCTGCCAATCTGGAGCACAATACACTTGTCCCCTCTCACCCGTGGTTTCGCTTTCTGAACTTGAAGTTACCCGCATTCAACCATGGTTGGAAAATATAAATGGAAAATTCCAGAAATAAGCAATTCATAAGTTTTAAATTGAGTGCTACTCCGCGTAGCATGATGAAACCTCATGCGGTCTTGCGTGAATTATCCCTTTGTCCAGCGTTTCCTTGCTGTAGACCCGCCCCCTGCCCCATGCCGCCCCTTAGGCACTGAGTAGCTATCTCTTGATTATCAGATCAACTGTCACAGGATGGCAGTCTTTGTGTTCAGGTCGCCCTTACTTCACTTAATAACAGTCCCAGAGAGCAAGAGCAGTGAGGCTGCGGTTCAGATATGCCCAACAGAAACCATGAGGTTCTCCCCTTAAGTGAAAAAGTAACCATTCTCAATTTAATAAGGAAAAAAATCATAGTGAGGTTGCTGAGAATGGATCTTCTATCTGTGAAATCGAGAAGGAAAAAGAAATTTGTGCTACTTTGCTATTGCACCTCAAACTGCAAACATTATGACCATCGTGCATGACAAGTACTTAGGGGAGAAAGGCATGAAGTTTGTGGGTGGATGACATGAACATAAAACATGTTCTAAACAGCACCATGTTGCACCAGAAAGCACTGAGCCTGCACAAGATTTCAGCAAGGGCTTCTCTGAAGTGAGTGACACCAAGCTATTTACTGCAAATAGGGATGGTTACACAGATTGTGCAACAGGTTTGGATGGAAAAAAAGTAAAAATTATCAAGAGGCTGCATCTGCCAATGAAGAAGCTGCTGCCATATTTCTGGCAGAATTAAAGAAGTGGATTAAGGACAGTATCCAAAGTAAGTCTTCAATTACTTGAAAGTGGGCCCTCCTGAAAGAAGATGATGGTAGAACCTATATTCCTAAAACTTCGAAGGAGGCACCAGGGCATGAACCATGGAAGGACAGATTAACTGTGGTACCATCCTGCAGTGCTGCAGGCAGATGCTAAAGCTGAGTGGAGTATACAGAGCAAAGAGCCCACACACTCACGAACACAAAAACAAAAATCATCTGCCACGTTCTAGAAACATAATTAGAGAGTAGGGGTAACAGCCACCTTGTAACGCAATGGTTCCCCCAATGCTTCATAAAAACAAGGTGGAGTACAGTACAATAAGACATTTTGAGAGAGAGAAAGAGAGACAACAGTTGCATAACTTTTATTATAGTATATTGTTATCATTGTTCTGTCTTATTATTACTTTGTTAATCTCTTACTGTGTCAAATTTATAAAATAAACTTTATAATGGGTACGCATGTGTAGGGGAAAACACAGTGTATATGGTCAGGTTCAGGACCACCTGCAGTTTCAGGCGCGCACAGGGATCTGGAGGCACGCCCGCTCTGGTAAGCGGGGACCACTGTACCCACCTCTACCCTTTTCACACAGTTAGAAATCCTGCAATTGTCTTAGTTAGTCATACACTTATATATTTAGGTCAAGATTTTTGCCTTATTCACCATCATATTCCCAGGATCTAGAGTAGTGCCAAGCATAGAATAAACACTCAATAAATATTTGTTGATTTTGATTTATTTATGTAAGTTTTTTAAACATATAAAATGATGCTATATAATGTTATAGACACCCAGAAATGTAGGAAGAATAAAAACACGAGTGGGAAAGATACACAATCACTTTGAGGTAGGGTTTATCTCTGGGGGTGGTAGATGGTCAACAGGATCAGAGAGTAGGACAAAGAGGCCTTAATCTCAATGTGGGCTTTTTTTAATTGTGAAGGAAATACAACATTTATTACATTTGCTTATTTGTTAAATCTGAGTGGTGGTTACATATGTTTATTGCTAAAGTATTTTTGTAATTTTCAGATTGAGATATTTCATAATAAAAACAATTTTTTAGAAGAGAAAGATTTGAAACGACAAAATCAGAGAGATGGGAGAACAAATGAGTGCTTGGTGGGGGGGAGGTGGTGGCTGTAATTGGGTAGCAGCAGGGAGAACTTAGTGACCGCTTACTGACCGCCAAGTCCTGTATCCTGATTTTGGTGCTGGTTATACTAATCTACAGGTGATAAAATGGCATATGTACACTTCACACCAATATCAATTCTATGGTTCTGCTTGTGCTAGTAAGCAAGATGCAACCCTGGGGGAAATGGGGTGGAGGGTACACAGGTCTTCTCTGTCCCACTCTCTACTATTTTTGTAACATCTTTGGACTCTATAATTATTCCAAAATAAAAGTTTTTTTTAATAAAAAGAGAACTACATAGACCACCTAAAGGAACACTATTTCCATTTGACAGATGACACCAGTGAGGCCACCAAGAAGAGCACTTTGTAGTGGGTGGTGTTGGGGCAGGGCAGTTTTTATTAGACAACCAATTTAACACCCACCTGGTTCCAGAACCCTTAGTAGCCTTTTGCTAGGGCTCTGCTATCACAGTTACTTCCCAATGAGTAACTCAGGCTCCAAAGCCTAGCTGAAGATCTCAGATATGAAATATCAAATCAGATATTAGAGATGCATAACCTAGCTTCAAATCCCAGCCCTGCCATTTAGTAAGGGATTGACCTACTTCAACCTTTGTGAGCCTCAGTTTCCTCATCTACAAAATGGAGACAATATGATTATTGTGATTATATGCCACCCTTACTGATTAAATCAAATAATACGTGTAAAATGCTTGACATAGCCCTGGCTAGGCTGCTCAGTTGGTTGAAGCATCACCCCCTACACTAAAAGGTTTCGGATTGTTCCCTGTCAGAGTATATACCTAGCTTGTGGGTTTGATCCCTGTTTGGGGTACATATGGAAAGCAACTAATCAATGTTTCTCTCTTTCTCTCTCTCAAATTAATAAACATACCCTAAGGTGATGATAAAAACATATATGACTTTCAGTTAAAAAATGCCTGGCATAGAACTTGGCACATAGTAAGCATGTAATTGAAAATCAGCAAACATGGCCTATTCAGACCTGTGAAGTAAATCCAAATACATCTATTTGTTCCAATGACCCTCTTACACATGATAGTGTCCAAGCACATAACCAGGTTCTGCGTTGGGTGAAATGTGGAGGTTCTCGCTGAGAAGTACATACATGGTGGGTAAGTGGAGGTAGAGGTGAGGAGAGAGATAAAGCAAACTCAATAAATATACCAGAATTGCCTATGCTCTCCACTTGCTTTGAGAAAGTAGCTGGGGGAACCATCCCCGCCCCAGCCAGAAAAGGAAAATAACATAAAGTAAAATGGCTTTGTTCATGTAACCCTGCGGATTGCAGTAGGGTATAATTACACATCCAATACCAAAACCATATAGAATTAGGTCAACCAGACACAAAGCCAAAAATAGCTATATACTTGAAGTTCCCAAAGACTACAATGAGACTGTAGATTGTGGATGTTTCAAATTGAACAGAAAAATGTGGGCAGTTCTTTTCTTTGGTTATGAACCAACGCAGTGTAAAACTACTGAAACTAGATTTCATCTGTGAGGAGGGCAGGGCTCCACCCTCAGTCGGCCGAAGGGAAGCATTCCCGCTCCAGAAGCACACACACGTACAAGAAATTGGAGAGTTAATTTATTCTCAAAAGGTACATTAAAGTGGACAACCAGCCCACTTGAAATTCTGGAATCAGGACAAGGAGTGGTACACAGGATGGGTCTTTCAACTGAATTTGTAATGACCGAGCATGAGGCATGTCTTCCAAAGCACACAAACCAGGTATCGAAAGAGGAGCAGTCTAAAGCACCACTCATTCGTGAAACTGAAATCACAAAGTTAGTTAAAATATGTGAAGTATTCCTGAAGTTACATGGAATCGGTAACATGTCTGTCTATAAAAGGAAAAAAAAGAGGTAAAGCATATTTTATTTTCGGAATGAGTGAGATTCCAAAAGCATAACCATCTCCCTTCACAAATGCTTTTAAATCAATAAAATTTATGACAAAAAAGACTTGTTTCATTTTGACAAGATATTAAGTGCCCCAGTAAATCTAAGTTTAATACCCATCACATATTTTGCAAAAGTAACAAAATCAAGGTAATAAAAGAACTTTTAATAAATCTCCACTTTTAAAGTATTGCTGACAAGAATCGACGCCCTGTGTTTCTGGTTGGATTATTCAATTTGACATACTAACAGAATGTAGTAAAATTTTCTTAAAGTACTGGTTATATAATGGTGAAGTTTTTTTTTTTTTAATTTTTATTTAAAACACAAGGTTTTAAATGACTAATGATCTAGCAGGACAAATTTCTCCCTTAACTTCAGAGTCTGTGAGCTGATATTCCTGCACTAACTCCTTTACGTAACATTCTTCCTAGAAATTTGGGTAAATATGGAGTCCTATTATCAGCTGTCAGAACAACAGAATTCTCTAGAATGAATTAAATTTACAAAAGAAAAGAATTGAGAAATTCTTTTCAATTTAGAAAAGAATTTCTCTTACATCTAGAGAAATAAGATAAGAATAATAAAGTGAACCAGAATACTTCTTCTTATGAAAAATATTGTAAAAATGAGGAAATCATATCAATTCCCAGTAAACTGTCAATTGAAGGATAGATTTAGGAAAGAGTATCTTCTAAAGTCTTAGTGAACTTAAAAAGTTAAAAGATGTAGGCAGTAGAGATTGTAATAGTCAAGAAACATCTTTGTTTCACTTTTAAGCTTTTTTTAAGAATATGTGAATAGCTGTAAAAATGAAAGTACTCTAATATTGAATGTCAATTTTAGTCAAAGAAAAGGAGACTCAGAGTTAAGCTAAAATTTTCTATCTTAATTTTCTATCTTGGTGTTATCTGCACTCTTTCCTAAATTTAAAATGCATTTTTAATTTGAATTCACTATCATCAGAAATCAGATTATAAAAATGTATGTGTGTGAAAATGTTAAAAGCAGCTGAAGTTAGAAACCAGTTTATTTTTCCCTTCTTATTTAAAAAACAACTTATTTTCAAATTTCTAAAGCAGCCCCCAGGTGCTTCCTGCCAGTTGTGAAGAACGTTCTATTTAGGGACAACACGGAACAATCCATTTCACCTCCTGGCTTCCTGCGGGCTTCTAGAGTGTTGCAGGGAAATTCAGAGTTTGAAATGAAGAGTTCTGACCAGACAGGCTCTCTGTGCCTGTAGGTTTATTTCCTTTACTTTAAGGCATAAGCTTCTCTGTCTGATAATGAAGTAGCTTACAAAGCCAGAGATTCAGACCTTAAAAGGGAAATTCATTTTAGTTTAGTTTAGGGCGTGTTTGCTTGTTTGTTTTTTCCTTTGTAGTGACACCTAGATCCTACTCTGGCAAGACTGTGTTTTTCCTTTGGATGAGTTTTGAGGGTGAGAGAGCTGGGTTTAGAAAGGGCCATTTTCCAAACAAGCAGATAATTTGTGAAATAAAATATTTGTCAAAGTTCCATAATTCCCGAAGAGTTGGCTATAATCTAAACAGTATTGTAAGTGCTACTGTGATCACTTATTAAGCAACTTACTAGCAACTTGAACCACAGGTTTTCTTGCAACTTGACTTACATCTTGATCCTGGTTATAGGTCGGTTTCATGTATAATAGGTGTTAATGATTTAAACAAAACTTAAAAACAAGAAATAAAGTGTGCTGTAGTATAGGTAGAATGCTCTAAGCATCTGGAGTCATAAGCAGAGGAGGGGAAAACCTACGGAGTCGGGGCAGTGTGGTCCTAACCACTGGCATAGTTAATTCCCTCTGCAGAACCACCTTTCAGTCGCAATAAATCAATTCCATTGTCCCCCAAACTGGCCACCCTTCTGGTATCACGAGGGGGTGCAGAGGATTCTGGTAAGTGGTTGGTATGAAAAAGAAACCAACACAAAAGAGAGAGACAAGAGAGCTGGGGAAGGGGACAGACTGGGGATGACAGGGAGCGGAGGAGGAAGGATTTTGTACCACGCTTGTGCTTCGTCGGTGTCTTTTAAAAACAACTAATACAAAATGATATTAGTAAACATCAAATTTTTTTTTTCAGTTCTGCCCCAGGATTTCTAAAGACCGTTTTATCTGGAGCCACAAAGCAGGAAGCCATGTGCCTGCCCCTCAACCCCGGGCGTCTGCCGGCTCCAAGGCTTTCCCAGCTGCTGCGCTCAGCCGCCTCTGGCTGGGTTTAAAGGCCCCAGGGCCCAGCACTCAGCCCTCCAGAGACACTCCCTGAAATGGAGATTTGACTTCCAGGTCCTTTAATTAGCAAATGAACGAGCTTATTTGGTTTCAGTACAGAATATGCCATTTAAAAACTAACTATTTTAAGAAAACCTCTCAATTATACTTATGACTTAAAAGAGACTGACTTATTTAAGCCTGAAAACTTAATTGGTGTACCCATTTTGGAATATGATTTGCAAATACCCAGTAAAATGTTAATGCACATATCCTTTGGCCCTGAAATTCCACTACTAGAAATTTACTCATCATATGTATCCCTAGAAGCACACAGAAACCTTACCACAGAGACGTTTCCTGCACTGTTTGTAATAGCAGAAAGCTGGAAACAACCTAAATGTCAGCTGATCTGGGACTAATTCAATGAATGACGGTGCATTTTATACCATGGAATACTGTGCAAATGTCTATAAATGAGTTAGTGCTTTTTGTGACAATAAAAGATATATAAAGCTATGCAAATATAGAGAAATCCCAAATACTAAATTTAAAAAGCAAATTGCAGAGCAGAATGTACAATATTATTCATGCTTGCTTTTAAAAACAATTTAAGTATATGCTTACCTTGCATTTAAAAATTCTGGAATAAAAAGAAACTTTTAACACCATTCACTTCTGCAGAGTGGGACTGGAGGGTTGGCAATTTTATTTTTCAGTTCATAACCTTCTAAACTGACTAGATTTCTAACCATGGTAATAACCATGTCATTGCTGTTAGATGAATTGAAAAACTAGCTCCTAATAAAAGGTTATAGTAAAAGTACATGAACAAAAACAGAAAGGATGCTTTTTTCTGAGCCAATCCATGGAAGCCACTTTGCTTAGCCACATTCTCATCTCCAGCAGGATACTTAAGTCTAAGTGAACAGATGTTAACCTATTCCATACACGGCAAAATGGTAACCCAGCTGTTTACTCTCAATACCCAACTCATCTGGTATGCTTTCAATATTAAACACGTTGACATCGGCGAGTTTCTAGTATCTCCTTTCTTCCTAGGCTATATTGCAGGAGGTCCAGGAGCCAGGAGCGGCGCTGGTACATGACTGGGAGGAGCAGCCCCAGCCACAGGGCGACTGGGCTCCACACTCGAGCAGGGCACACACAAACAAGGGTTTCTCCATCAGCCAGTGGCGCCAAGATGACTTCCCAGCGGACAGTGTGAGCGCCCGTCGTAGCCCGCAAGCCAGACCCTGTAGGAAACTTGAAGATTTTAAAGTAGGAAGTACGAAAACTATTCGGAGATTCCTCCTCCCACAGACAAGCACTTTCTTCTCCTAACTCTTCTTTTGCATTCTCCCTTAACTAGTTCCTAGAAATATCTGCCGCTGTTCCTGTTCTGGTCTTGTATATGTAAATCAAAGTCAATGCTTTCCAGTCTCGCGCCGAGTCCGGGTTTTCACCTCCTTTGTTAACTATAAAAGTTTTCTCTTCCCGTGCTTCATTAACCTGCTCATTCAATTTTTTAACAAGTTGGCTTTGAAGGTCTGCAGCTTAAATATTTCTTCCAAATCTAAAATTCTCCTCCTCTAAAAATTGTATTTCAAAAAAGCATCTTAAAAAAGTCATTTTGCTCCAAGAGTATTCTGAGGCTTAACTACAGTGTCAACAAGTATGAACTTGCTCTCCAGCCAGTTAGTGTTAAGGGAGAAACCAGTAAGTTAAAAGAAAAGTTAACTCATTGTATTACCAGGTAATAGCTCTCATTTCTTCATTACCTATCTCTAATGTGCTCTTCAACTATTTATAATATTAATGAAGAAAAGGACTGTGATTTTCATGTGTAAATTGAGAAACTAACTTTTCCAGAGTCCGGGTTTCTCCCAAACTGTGCTCCACCTCCCTCCAAAAAACAGCAAGAACAGAAAGCAGCAATCAAATTTCCAGGTTAATCCAAGTAGTCTCCAGGTTTACTGCATTGAGAAATGTTATTTAAAAGATAAGAGGAAAAGGTGCCTTTTTCTAGAAGTTTGGGGGCTAGGCTAGTGTCGGTAGCTAAAACGGTATTTTACTGTTATCAGTAACTCTTCAAAGTCCAGATACTTGCTTAATTTTGTCATAAATCTGTATTAACAGTCCAGTACTCCTCTACTTTGGCACTATGGAAGGTGCTGTTAAGGGCCCTCAAAACTGAAGTTCCTTTATTTCTTCTGTCACTTGAGAAAAAGTTCTGCCACAAAGTTGTAGTAACATTAAGTTCCTACAAATCAACTTGGAGATATCTCAATGTGTGTTTCCTAGAAAAAGTGCCAGACATCAGTTTCATCGGTCAACCATTAAAATACATCAAACCACATATATGTTTCTTGACCTCATAAGAGCACAGCCAGCCAATCAAAGACCTCAGCTTCAATTCCACTTGCAACTCGGCATGGGCAACAATATGAAAATTAAGCACTACTACCAAGACAGAACAGGCACCGTCCCCCCAAAAATAATAGGTAGAAATTTCAAGTCCATCTTCTCAATTTCTGATTTAAGATTACATAGGATTATTCAACACACCATCACACTAAACTCACTCAAAAACAAGTAGCACAGGTAAAAGAAATTTTTATTTGCACATTGTGTTATTTTATGTGAAGGCAAATGGCAGAAAACTTGAGAATTTTAGATAAAAGCACCATGTCTATGAGTGTCACAGCTGGTATGACTTTTACAACTACAATAGGGTACAATCAATGTACATAAGGACCTTGAAAGAGGAAGCGCCTTTGGAATCTATGTCATTTATTCAATACCTAAAATGAAAAACATAGTGGGGATTATAAGGCATTTCCTGCACAGAATTTCCAGTCTAACTAGAAAACACTGTAAGTTTAAAAAAAAAAAAAGTATAGTATTGCATATGGAGAGGAGTAAGGCATAGTGGTTTTTTATTGTCTTTTCCATACTACTTGATTTTTTGAAACCACACTTACATGTATGACTTTGATAAAAGTTTAAGACTCAAATAACAGCAATGAACCCTCCTTCCCACTACTGCTTCAGGCACCTTCCTCTGGCCCATGAGTTCTGACCTCTTTTGACCCCTTGGAAAGTCAAGTGAAGACTATGGACCCATTCTCAGGACACTGTGTTTAAATCATAAAATTAAACACACAGATCACAAAAGATGAATGCTATTAATATGCACATATCATATCAAATTTGTGATGTAATAATATATGCACTCCTTTATTAATTCATTAAATAACAAGATGTATCGTGGGTCTGATGGCTAGTTATTTGGGTTTAGTGAAACATGTGAAGAGTACTTTGGGATATCTGTATCAACTGTACTATGATACCAAAATACTGGATTTCTACTGGTGATAAACTTACATATTCTGCAAATTCTACTATGATCTGCTGTTCAGACTCATATTTGAAGGACATGTTCAATTTCAGTTAGAATTTAGTGACAATAACAATGTAATTTTTTTCCTATCCAAGTTCACACAACCCAACCCAAGTATCCATCCATGGACCTCTTGCGAGTCCAAGGACTGGGTTAAGAAGCCCTGATCTAGGGTCATGGCTCTCCGGACCAGCTTTCCACATTGCCACCAAATCCGATGCAGTCCTTCTTCTGCTCTAAAGTCTTCAATGGCTCCCTTATTTCTCAGATGAAACACAAACTTCTGAAAGGCAGGCAAAGTCCTTGGTATTCTGTTCTCTGCTCAGCAACTCAAGCTTATTCCTGGCCCCCAGCCCATTCATTTCCTCTTTTGCATCAGAAGCTCCATACACAACGGGAAATTTTGTTCTCTCACAGCTCCACAATGTGCTGGAACTCCCTCACCTGCTGGCTGGTCAAAAGCCACCTCCACTCTGATGCCTTACCTGACACCTTCAGGTAGATCCAGATGTCTCATCTCTGCTTCTGCTGCTCTTTGTGCACCTCAATATACTGATGATCTTACTGTACAGTTGACCCTTGAATGCACGGGGGTTATGGGCTCCAACTCCCCCACTCCACACAGTCAAAAATCCACACAGAACTTTTGACTCCCCCAACACTTAACTACTAAGAGCATACTGTTGACTGAAAGCCTTACCAATAACAAAAACAGATGATTAACACCTGCTTTGTATGATATACATATTATGTGCTGTATTCTCACAATAATGTAGGCTAGAGAAAATATATTTACAGCATTTATTGAAAAAAAAATGTGTATAAGTGCACCCATACAGTTCAAACCTATGTTGTTCAAGTTCAATAGTCAACTGTACTATAACTGATGGCATGTGACTCCCCACTACCCAGAATCTCCTTAACGGTACAGACTGTATTTTTCAAATTTCTTCAGGACTTTGCCTTGTGGCTGGCACAAGTAGATGCTCACTAAATAGTTGCTGAATGACTGAGTGAGTGAATGGCTAAATAAATGAGAGAGAGAGAAATATAAAGAGTAGTCAAAAATAACACTACAGTTTCTGATCTGGATCAATGTAGAAAAAATGAAGAATGAAAGGAAAAATTGTACTCATAAAATTTTGAAATATGTTTTTACATATTCTAATTTTTCCAAAGATAATTACCCATGAATACAGTAGAGGATAATCATCCATTAAAACACAACATTTATTCTGGTGTTCTGATTATATATAAATATGCTATAGAAAGACAGTCCAACCTAGAAAGAGGCTGCATTTTATTTTATTTTTTATTTTTTAAATATTTATTTATTTTTTTATCTTTAGATGGGAAGGAGAGAGGGAGAGAAATGTCAATGTATGGTTGCCTTTAGTGTGTCCCCTGCTGGGAACTGGCCTGCAACCCAGGCATGTGCCCTGACTGGGAATTGAACTGCGATCCCCTGGTTTGCAGACCTGCACTCAATCCACTGAGCTATACCAGCCAGGGGAAAGGCTGCATTTTAAAATGAGGCTTGCAAACCCATTCATTGTCTGGAATTTAGAATACAATTTCCCTCAGAAGCCAATTTAAACTGGTGACAACGCAGTCAATTTACCACACAGTAGTTCATTTGATTTATGGACCCATAATGGGTGCATTTTAATTTAAAATTGATAGAAAATAATACTATTTAATCCTATTGCAATATAGCTGGATTAAGCAAAAACAGTAAGAAGTAAATGTGAGCATTATTTGTCTTTAATATTGACTAATGGAGGAAAGACCAGTTTACATTTAGCAGGGTGAGGAAGCCCAGGGAGCCATTTGCAAAGAGCAGAAGGAATCTGTACTTATTTCAGAAGCTTTCGGGGTTAGCAGTCCTAGCTCTTCAATATGTATTTCACTTCAAGACTTAAGTAAGACCTTTCCTTCTGTCTCACAAATGGCTCACTCAAAGGAAAGGGAGAAGGTATTTTGCAGTACTTGAAAAAGTTTTGGAACACAAAAGTGAAAGGAGGAATGGAATTAAAGAGGCTTAATGTGTATCCTATCAAGTTTACCTGAGGTGTAATTAGCCAAACCAGGGAGAAAAAAGGAGGAAGAAATGTACGGTGTGGTGTATGTGCTGGTCACTACTGCTGCTCACCTAACATTGGTTTTTCTCCTCCTGGGCACAGGGCAGGACTCAGCTGCTTGGCCCTCTTATGGCGGGTGGCACCATTTTACAGAGTTCGGCTAATGAGTTTGGAGTGGAAGTGACAGAGACTTTAAAAGCTAACAGAGACCCTTGGATTCCTCCTTTCCCACTGACTCAGCACCCCGGGCACCAGCCATGGTGGAGGAGGGGACAGCTTTGTCAGCCTGGGTTCCCAAATGACTAACAGACTCCCCAGTGACACAAGACAGACATCTGTAGATTTCTCGACATTTCAGGATATATCCTGTTATTTCAGGATATACACTGTTATTTTAAGCCACTGAGAGCTTGGGGTTATTTGTTTTGCAGCATAACCTATCTTATTATGACGGATGCATTGTTTATACAATTTACCTACAGAGAAGGGAAAGGGGTGATGGGGAAGAGATGGCAGCTTATAGTTGCACTGGATTGATCCTGAAGATTAGAGGAAGGGAGGAGAGGTATAAATTCAGAAATTCAGATGGAAGGAATCCTTCCAAGGTGGATGCTCAGGGTTTGGGGAGATCTTGTATTACTTCTGAAACCAAAGTCCTAATAATACCAGAATCACAAGTTGGGCAGACAGGGTCATAGCCCTCTCTACTCACTGCATGTGACTAAAAGGCACATGGCCTAGCGCACATCATTGAGGTCCATGCTGGCTGCAGGCCTCAGAGCTTAACAGCATTTGCAAGCTTATTGAGAAAAAGGATAGAAGAGTGAATAAAAGCATGGGTTTGGAGTCAGACTGGCTTCAGTTCAAATCTTAGCTCTCCCTCTTAAGTCACTACATCTTCCTTCGTCAGTTTCCTCATCTGTGAAGTGGAGATAAAAGCAGAATCTATCTCAAAGGTTTGTTGGGAGCACTAAATGAGGTCATATTTGTAAAGTGTCAAGTATAGTGCCTGACATTACTAAATGTTCTAGCTTTTTCCAGTTCACTGGAAGCCCAAGAGTTCATTTGTTATAGAGTGGCCACCTCACTGCCATCCCTGGAACATCATAAATCCCACGGCAGCTGCAACCTGGATCTCTCGGGACTTTCAGCCATTACCAGGCACAGAGCCTCTGCCTATGAGGTCTGTACATATCCACCCTCCGAGAGGGTGCCCCTCGGTCAGAGGTGCGCCCCACTTTAAAAAAGATCCAAGAAAATCCAAATCAACAAGATGAATATGGGTTGGATCACTTATCTTCCAAGAAGAGTCTTTTCACTTTACCAAAGACTCTAAGAATTCCTTTAGTACTTTCCAGGTTTTTTGTGGTTTGGTTTCTTTCCTTTTCCTTTTCCTTTTCCTTTTCCTTTTCCTTTTCCTTTCCTGTCCTTTCCTTTCCCTTTCCCTTCCCTTTCCTTTCTTCTTCATTTCTTTTCTTTCCTTCACCTTCCTTTCTTCCTTCTTTTTTTCCTTTGACTTGTTTGACAGAGAAAAAGAAAAATAAAGCTCACTGGCACCCTGTCCATTGAGGATCAATCAGAAATGAGAACAATCTATGTAAATAGGAAAAATGACCTGTCAAAATGTATCACTTGTCTACAATTGTCTGGGATCACATCTATTCTATTGGCTCAGGGAACAGAGCAAAGGCAGACCCCCAGGTCCCCTCATAATGAGAATTCATCCAGAGGGTTACTGTGATAATGGCCAACACACAGCAGATCCCTGTTTCTCCATCAGAACCAAGATTTAAAAATCTCAGTCCGAACTGCTCCTTCCTTACATAGGTAGAGCTCAGAGATCCACAGCTGTATGAAAACACAAAATTCTTTTAACCAGAATAAAAATGGAGTTAACTGACTCCAGCTGTGAAAAAGTCTAGAGTTAAGAGGAAGCTAGTGTTTTTTTTTTTCAAAATAAATGAGAATATATTATGAATTAGAGGCAAAGTCTACACTACAGTTTAATGTAGAGCTTGCCTCTCTGGCCATGCGCGCACCAGCTGGGAGACAGACTGCTCCGTACCTGAGCCATGGAGGTGCCAAGCTCCTCATTTCACAGCTTTAGTATTTGGCTTACACTCAGACAACCAAGAGTGAACCCCAAATTCTTCACCTCCTAGGTCAAGGTTCTGCCCCCTGCACCACCACTCCTACATTTTGGGAATGGAATCTGCCAACTACCTAAACTCACCTGGAGTGGAAGCTGCTCTTCACAGAGAAGCATGTACCTGTGGAACCCAAAGTCCAGCACAAATGTGAGCCTACAGCCAGTGGGGGTCCACATCTGCCCCCCTCCCCAATCTTTTCCCCAACCACTGCCTCGTTCCCACCCCTTCACTCCTATCAGCTCACACCTAACCAGTCTCCTTAACTGCACTCTTGCTTTGTTCCAAGCCATTTTCCAAAGGGCTTCCAAGGGATATAAAATACAAGCCTAGTTCAGTTACACCCCCATTTTAAAAAGCTTTCATCCACTGCCCTCTGCACAAGTTCAAGCTCCTCAGTATGGCTGATAAGGTCTGCTCCTGCTCACCTCCACCCACTTCTTCAACCTTATCACACTCTCATCAGGGCTCTGAAGACATACACTCCTAGTGGCATACAGGTTCCGCAGCATAAATAGTCCCACTGCGGCTGGTTTCTATCTACCAAAGATTTACCCAGAACGATTTAATTCACAAAATCCCTCTCAGGAGTCCTCAGCACACCACTGATTCCCCTTAATTTTCTCATCTTGCCATCTTTTTAGTCACTTTGTTGTTAATTAAGATTCTCATTGTCTGATGGACAGGGAAAATGAAGTGAGTAAACAAAGAAGTAATTTTTCTATCAGTAGTTCTAGCAAAGGAGATTGAATGGGGAGAAAGGTGAAACCAGAATTAGCTAGATGTATTTATGAGTTTCAACGACCCCATTCTCTCTGCCCCTACTGCTGCAGATAACTGAAAGCAGATGCCCTAATCAAATGTGCAAAGTGCAAACATACTTTCTGACCAAATATAGCACTGATGGTTACAACCTGGGAATAGAAATGAGAAACAAACTATGCTGGAAACCTGAAAACAATCAAGTTCATCAAGATGGCAGAAGGGTGGTTAAAATGGGAAATCAAACAACTTCTCTGGGTAGAAATAACATGGAAAATATTTTTCTAAATGTTAAGGATCATAGCAGCTCTCTGGACAAAAATCTAAACAGGAAAAAAAAAAAGCATACCAAACTAACAGAAGGGAAAACCATTTAACAAAATATAAACTTTTATCTTGAACACACTTGGAAACCGGGAAAATACAGGAAAACTTTATGGAACTCTGTGACGAAGTCTCACTCTCCTCCATAGAAATGGGGCTCCTTGGGTGATATTAATACTTGAGCAGAAGGGGAAGGCAGCTGGCCGTCCCTCCTTCCCTCTCTCTAGGACTCTGGCTTGTATATCCCTTCCCTCTGTTTCTGAGAGAGGCAGCGCCACATGAGTAATAGTTCACAGAACGTGCACCTGACCTCCAGGGCACGTCAGACTTCCTGTAAGTGAAGGGTACGGTTCCAAGTGAGATTGTCTGGAAAAGCAGTTTTATTTTTATGGCTCACTAAACATTTACTGACATGAACCCCATTCACTGTGACAATGGTTAGATCCAGCCTCTTGTTGACAAAGCTCCGGGGGTGTAGGAAGGAATATCCAGCTTTGCTCTGTGATTTCAGCTTATTTACTATCTCGGCGCTGGAGGCTTTGGGGCTTTGAGAGGCTACTCTAGTGACAGCTGTTACTTTACTTTGGTAATAAAGTTAAGTAACCTGAAGTTAAGCCACAGAGGAGAAAAATAGAAAAACAATGAAAAATATGTGAAGATGGGGAAGAATATTTGTCTACGTCGGAGTGAAACAAGACTATCACAGAATCATTCTTACATAGACAAGCAGAAGAAAGAAATGGAGGGCATTTTCACTGCAATCAAATGAAATGTAACTTAAGGAGCCCCTCATACTTTAGGTAAAAATAAACACATAAATCATGCACATAACAGAAGTGTGGTATTTGGGGCTGGCTACTTGTTTAAAAACCTGAAAGGAATCAAGGAGAAAGACTCAGAGATTTCATCTCAAGGTATCCTACATCATTCGATTACCCAACTCAAGGAGAATATAATTGCCTTCTTTAACTGAAGTATGATATGGCCAACAGGGCTGTCTGTCAGACGAACTAAAGGGCAACTCGAGGACACAGACGGCAGAGAGTGAGGCGGGAATTAACTGCGCCTCATGCCCACGAGCGGGTGGAAGAAAGAGCAGACTCCACCGGTGTGGACAGGAGGTGGGCAGTCACCCGGACACGGCTGTGTGTGAGTCACATCTGGCAGAGGCAGGAATGAAATCATAAAAGAACATGGATGGCAGGTTTTAGACATTAAAACAGCAAATAGGTTAGAAGCATTGAGGAGTTAAAGTGAACGCAAAACTCTAATGTGGACATCAGGAAACCCGGCAGAAGCCTTTTGAAGTGGGGCGGAAGGAGCTGAGAACTGGGATTATCCCGTACCATACTCCAAAGGCCTGCCTGCCGTCTAATTTCAGAGGAAGAGAAATGTGATGTTTAAAGAGCTGCAGGGCTTCCAAGGCAGCAAAATAGAGTATCGACAGTTTAAAGAACAAAGAGTAGAAGGGTGCAGTTTCTACAAATGCATTCATATGTGTCCACTGACTCTGCCATTGATTTGCTGAATTGTGTGTGTTTGTGCACATCCACAAGAATTTCCTGACCTTCTCCGAAAGGCTTCAGTAAAACGGCAAAACTAAAATACGTGATCAGAAAAGTGGTTTCAAGCTTCAAAATTCTAAGAAGTTAAAAATGAAAGAGGAATGTACAGGCCTCTTAGTAAGTGAAAAGCCTAGAATGAATGACGACACTTTTTTTTGCAAAAGCTAGAAATGACCAGTGGGAGACAAGAGAGGTCTAAGCCGGCTGCTGGCTGTAACCACGGCCACTCACCCCCACCATTCCACGCCTACGCCCACTCGGAGCAGAACAGGGCCTGGTCTCAGGACATTCCATCCTGTGGATTATCTGATGACGTCTCTCTCTTACCCTCCTACCAGGGTACAATTTTCTAAAAGCAGAGAAAATCCTTCCCAAGAAAATAAACACTCCCAAACAACTGTACCATTCTCTTACCTATTTGGATTACATAATTACTATGAAGTCAAGACTTTTTTACTAACATGCCAGAAAAGAACTCTTAGCTCCTAAGCTGAACTGCCTTTTCTCCACTGTCCAAAGCCCCCCAAAAACCCAACTCCTCAAAAAGTAGTCCCCAGTGCTCACTTTTATAGAATGAAAAACTCCACTGCCTCAACTTTGCTCCCAATGGAAACTCAAAGTATTTTGAATTTGAGGGGATACTATATACTATATTTTTCAACATAGCAACAATAATACATACATACCCTCACTAAAGTCTGAAAATGCCCTACATAAAAAGAGATCCCTAGATAGTTTTCTTGGCTCTGTTGAGGTTTAGACAAATGTATATCTTAACTTTCTTTGTTCAACAGTCCATGAAATGGGGCTACCAATAATTGGTCATTGGCATCATGGACCAGCCCCCAAACAGTAAAACAGTGAAACCCTTCCTGACCCACCCCGGTACCAGCAGAAAACCACTGGGCCCAGCTGACTGAAATCCCACACAGCACAGTGCTAATTAAGGCACCTATACTTTTCCAGTTGAGGCAGCAACAGAACTGCTGAGGGTTCCTATTATGGCCTGCTCGTATTTGCTCATCTGGATCAATATAGAAATAGCAGCAATTTGCTCTTTGTAATTCCTCTCCAGGAATACAGAGGGCCAGGATATTCTTGGAATGCGTCCTCATGCCCAAGTCAGGTGTGCCTCCTGTGATCGCTGTGCTCTGCCCATTCCGTCCGTACGAAGTTCAAATTATATAATGCATGTCCAGGGCTAAGAACCGGGCACACAATAAACTCAACATGATGTTAGTAATTGTAAAACAAGATAAAACAAAAAGAGAGAAAGAGATTGTCTCCTAATGCTTATCAACATACTCGAAACAGGGAAGATTGAAATGTAAGGCCACAGTTCCACAGCACACTCCAGAGATGTCTTTGCTGTCCTCAGTCACCTGCCAGCAACAATGCAGAACTTTCTATGGTGTCACAGGTACTCATGCCCCACTACTGCATCCAAGACTCAATAAAGGAAAACTGCAGACTGTTTGAAACAAAGAGAGCAGATGTGTGACAGACCTTGAGGAAATCCCACGAAGCCCCTTGTCACTGGCCACGTGGAATTTTTGCCAGGGAAGCTAAACATCCCACATTAGACAACTGTTTTCAGTGGAGAAAATGGGTAAGTAACGCACAGAACCTGTACATCTCACTAAAAAGGTTAACCCTTGATCATAGACCAGGCCCTAAAAGTATGGCTGTTCTTGAAATTTCAGGCTAAAATGAATTCTTCCTACGGGACACCAAGCTATCTTTTCTTTGGCTCTGCTGTTTGAATACACAGGCACAAAACCACTTCCCGAGTGTCATGAAATTATTTGCACAGGTTTTGCTATACTTTATAGTCGTAAATTATGTCTGTCTTAGCAGAATTCACTCAGGACACACGCTACGCCAGGTTCGCCTTCCGAGGGACACCCCATCGCACGCAGCTGTGCAGGCAGATTTCTTACGTCCGTACTCCAAAAGGCAGCACATTTGCGACAGTATGAGACTGTGTGGCATAGAGTACCTGGCCATAGAACTTTATTTTTATTTTGCGCTATGTCTACTCAACCTGTAAAAGACTAGGGTATGTTAGTTTTGTAGTTTCTAACCCATGTTTTTGGAAATACAAAGGGCATTGCTGTCATGCCTGTTCAACCTGTGTAAGGGCCACTTGGCAAGTCTCGTAGTTTCTAAGCCGTGCTTCCCAAAATGCAAAGGGCAAGTATGACCCATAGCTTCAGAGAAGGGCAAGCAATGCTCCACCTCTTGATGAATCTTTATTTGGTTTATTTCACTTGACTTGTTTTTATGGCAACCCTCTATTACACTACCACAAAAAAAATGTATGTTTTCTACAATTCAAAGTAATATAAGTGCAACTTGTAAAAGTCAGGGTGTTTTTTATTTAATACATTCTAATCAAATAGTAACAGCAGTAAATAAACACTTTGAAAAACAGGCAGGTATCCCCCTATGTCTGGAAGAAAATTAAGTCAAAGTGTTCTACATGGTAGAAGGGAGAGAACCACTGGTGTCTGTGGCTAGACAATTCAAGGACACCTTGAAAATTTCTAAAGCCATTTCCAAAAAAATCCACGGGAAAACGTCGGGGCACAGCTACTTCAAAGGGTAATATGTCTATATCTACATGGTTTAATGAACAGGGGTTGGGTTGCACCTGTATAGCAGGACATTCTTGTCTTTAGCCTTAAAGGAAAAGACTAAGTCTTTTCCGTTTGCACCAATTTGAAATGTCAGAAGTAAGGCTCCCTTAAAATAGATTACTACAGTACTCGTTCACATGAGAGAGTTCAACGTATAGTAAAAAGACAAATACAGGATTTCATGGTCACTTTTTTGGTTGATTTGGTTAATTGCATAAAATGAAGGATAAACACTCACAAGTAAATCTGATCAACAAAACCCCTAGGTACATCAGAATGCAAAAGACAACATGTCCAAAACAGACTCGGATCACCAGGCATTTACAACTGAAGTCAGCCTGCGTTAGCTTCCTTCCCTCTCAGTGCCCCTCCGTGGAGTTCGTTCACTGGTGCTTGGACCTTCAACCAACAAGGAAGGAATCTCAAAAGGCAAGGCATTCTGATAAAAATGTTACTTCAGCCTTTACTTGGGATATTTAATTTTTAACTTACAAGATCAACTGGTCTTAGCCTCAGGAAGGGAAGTGTTATTCAGGTGAAAATAGTTGAGGAAACTTTACCTCGCTACTTCATCACACATCTAAGTTAGATTCCTTCAGCTGTTTTTAGAATTCCATGTAGTTATCCAGAGCAGTCACTCAAGTTCTGGGGTTCTTTTTTATGTAGCTGCATTCGGAGATACTCTATATGAGGCATGTTAAGAAAAAAAGAAACACTTATACCTGGAATTTATATTCTTCCAAGTAATCTTTTAGTCTTGTTGGTAAAGGCAGTTCCCAGATGGTGCCGGTGCACTTGTTAATGGTGAGTCTGCAGAGATGCTGCAGAGGTGGCGCTGCCGTGTAGAGCGGTTTGGTCAGGTAAAGGTGAACAGTGCCGTTCCGGGGGGCTTCGGGGCCGGTCCGCTTGTCTTTGCACATCTGAACATAGTAGTCAATCAGATGAACCACACTGTCAAATTGTTTAAGCTTGGACTTGACACATATGATAGAGTCCAATCTGAATTTCCCATCTTGATACTCAATTCGAAGATTAGTTGGTCCAGCTGATGTTTTAACAGATATCGTTAGTAGGTAGTCTGAATGCGAACTATCTCTAATCAAGAAAGTTCCTTCTGGAGCCTCTTTTAATTTCTCTTTGGCTTCATTAACAGTCATACTTCCCCAGTACCAACCTGGGGTTTTTATTCAGAAAGAAAAAGAAAAGAGAGTAAAATCATTATTAGGAAGAATGTTTTAAGTGGGACAAGTACTTGACAACAATTTTTCCAGCTCTAAAAAGAGGTATGTGAGTGAAGGTGTACCAGAGGCTACCACAAACACTTTCGACAGAAACTTAATGAAAATGTGGGTCTGTGTTATTTTACGCACACAAAATGGGAGCCAGTTTTTTTCTACAGCAATTTTCTGTAGCTGCTCTTTAAAGCATCAGGACTTTCTCCTAATGAAACAGTAACTGCGACGTGACACACGGGCTGAGGAAGCACAACACTTTCCAGCACCACCCCTGAGCAGTCAAGAGACTGAGACCAAATTAGAAATAGATCAGAAGTTTAAAACAAAAGGCATGCCCTTCAAAAAGTGGAAAACCCGACTGCAGCTAATTCATGGAGTAAAACAACAGAAGCAACTTTTTGGATGGTTGGTGCCCCCCAACTCCTCTTCCCTAAATCTGTCAATGGATGTATCTCAGTTCAAAGCCCTAGAAGACACTGCTATTTACTTGTTTTAAAAACACAGTTCTTTGTACAATGGCTTCTGTTTGGTGTTCTGATTACAACTACCTTATCGGTCATTGAGAAATAAAGGAAACCCTAATTGACAATTAGTATTTCAACTCTGCTATCTTTTGGACTTTGCCTTAACTCCAATCCAATCCCAACCGTCCCCAGGTCTACCCAGCATTCTCGACTTGATCTGCCTGCCCCGTCTACCAGGTGGCCCATCCTGTTTACAAATGTGACATTCTGCATTAAAGTTTAAACAATATGCCATTCCTCCAAAATTAATGAAAGAAAGAACGAAGGATTGCTCAGATTCCTGAATCTGCTGGTCTCTCCAGCTGGGGGGAAAAGCAGATGACCCACAAACACATGTGAGGGAATAGGAAACAGTCCCCTCTCCCCAGTGTTACCAAAATATCAACTTTGCCCCAAACGTAAGCTTTTAGGATCCAGAGATGTTGAAAGCCCACGGGTTTGCCAGATTTTTCTTTTCACGTTTTTCTTCTTCGGATTCCAAGAGACAACAGCGAGCCATGCAAAGCACAGGACTGCATTCGAAAGACTCCCCTGAAGGCCGTGCGCTTAGCAGGGGCTTCGGTGTGCACACTTTTCAAGGCTCCGCGGCAGCCGCCTGCGCGGCAATCTGCTGGTCCCTGCACTTGGCCATGAAGATCCCATGCTGCAGCGGCTGCTCCACCCGGGAGCGGGATGCAGCAGAAGCTACGGCAGCACTGCGCCCGCTCGCCTCCTTGCACTCTACACAAAGAAAGGCGCCAGGCTCTTTCTCCCGTTAGAATTTGAGCCCTAGTGCTGGACCCCCTGACCCCATCCCGCGGCTGAGCAAAAAAAACCCCACCAGTTTTCGGTGCCCTAAGGGGGCAATTTCCAAGGTCTTCCTGGCCTAAGTCTCTCAAGAACCACTTTCATTTCACATCCCAAGGATCCAGGGCTGTGTGGGCATCTTCTCCGAGACAGAGGGAGGAAGCAAGGGGACTTTTTCCACCCCATCCTTTGCTTCCCAACTCGTCCCTTTTTCCTGCTGCGTTCCACACCAGCATAGCCCCCAGCAGCGTCTTTGGGAAGGCACCCATCCCCCACCCCCACCCAGCCCGGCGAACAGGCGGCGGCCTTATCGCTTCTTACCTGTTTGACTGAGCTCCCTCAAGGCCTTCGCCAGACGCGCCGCCTCCGGGGACGGCTCCTCTGCGGTCCCCGCGGTCCCCCACTGGCCCCGCGTCCCTTCCGCGCCATTCCCAGAGGGCTCGAGGCACCGCAGGGTCATGGGCAAAGGGTCACCAGAGCAAACAGAGGTGGCCGCCGGAGCTGGGGTCAGAGAGGGGCACTCGTCCTTCCTGGAAGTCAGTGGGAACCCCAAAACACGTCCCCGCGGGGTATCCAAAATGGTGGTGGAGGGGGAGGGGGTGGAGAGCTGCTGATTCTTCCTCCCCAGGTCCCAGTGGACAGATGGCCAAGTCCCCCGCAGGCGCGGTCACCCACAGTTTGCCTGCAAAGAAAAAGTATGGGGTTGGGTCAGTCGGAACCGGACCCCTGGCCGAGGTGTGGGTGGGGAGACAGCGACGTGGAAAATCCCGGGGACTCCTCCAAGTCTACACTCCTGCACCACTTAACCCCAAGCATCCAGTCACTGCCCAGACCCAGTTCTAGAGACAGGAAGACAGAGAGTGCAAAGGATCAGGGACGCCTGAATTGTCGAGAGGGAGAGGGGCGCGGCGTGGGGGGGGGGGGGCGGGCGGGAGAGACAGGAAGAGGGTGGGGAACCCGGTGTCTTCCCGCCCAGAGCAGCTCGCTGAAATCGCAGGCTAGCAGAATGGAAGAGCAAAGTCACCTGCAGGCACAGTAGTAAATAGGCCCTAGTCAAGGACAAATGGTAAAAATTGTTTAAAGGCAATTAACAGGAGAGCTCCCAAAACTACACTCCTTTGTCACACTCCACACAGCCCGAAGAGCCCCGCGAGAAAGTGACCGGCACAAACTCGGTGCCCTACGGTGCCCCAGGGTTCCTGGGGCCGAAGCCAGCAGCCTGGGGTGACAAGGTGCTGGAGTTGCAGTATCTCTGGCTCCGAGGCAGCCTGGCTACCCTCCCCTCGCTTCGGGCAGGGGTGGGGGGCGCCGCTGGGAGTCGTGGCGGCTGCTGCTGTTGTTGCTGCCACAGGCGCTGTCGAGGAATCGACTTCAGCGCTCAGGCTTCGCTGGTGTTCGGAGCCCGGGGTGGGTCGCGGGCGAGCAGGCTGCAGCGAGAGCTGCGAGACCTGCAAGAGAACCGAACTGAGCCCTTACCTTGGCCTCGGCCGCCGCCTCCACATCCAGCAAGCCTCCCCAGCGACCTAGGGAGGAGGAGCAGGGCGGGGCCGGGAAAGGAGGGGCGCCGGCCCGAGTATCCCCTGTTGACTTTTAATTTGGAACAAGGCGCCTGGGGATGCGACGGGACCGGCGCTCAGCGGCCCCAGTTCTCAGCACAGAGGGCAAACAAAAGACCCGGGGATTGTAGCCTAGACGCTCCCCCCAACCCCGGGCTCCAACGCCGCCAGCCAGAGCAGCTGTTGGGTTTCCCTCCGACTGTGATCAAGGAGGTGGGAAGGGCAGAGGGAGGAGTGAGGAGCCAGGGCAGGAGGCAGGGGGTGGGGAGGAAAGGGAGATAAGGTTATTAAAGAGGATTATTAATTTGGATGGCAGTTTAGGAAAAAAAAAATTCTGGAGACTTCCCGACGCCGGGAAGGAACCGAAGAAAGCCGGCAAAAACACTGGCTGCAGAGCAGGACCGTATCTCTCTCTCTTCCCTCGGCGGCTCTAAAGTGCGGAAGCCACGGCCTCCCGTGCCCGCCGCTCTGCCCGGGTTTCCTCCCCAGCGACCCTCCTGGGGCGGAGCCTCCGGGATCCCCAGACCAGTACCTGCCGCCTGCCCCTGCTGGAGCGGCTCCGGCACCCCCACTGTGCGCCCAGAGTCCGGGCGCGCGCTGTCCTCGGCCCGCGCAGCGCTGGTAGCGGCGGGCGAGGAGGCTCATGCTTCAGGGGAAGCCCAAGGCCTCGAGCCGCGGCAGTGGCGGCGGCAGCGGCAAGACTTGGCAAGAGTTAAACGTCAGTACCCGGAGCGCTGTGTGAGCACGAATTCCAGCCGGACGCGCCTCCCAAGCTCTCCGCCTCCCTCTACGGTTTGAGCTCCAAGAGGGCCCCGCCCGACTGCCGCGGAGGCCGCTTTCCAGGAACTTTCCAGGAATTCGCCCCACGTGACCGCGGCCTCTGCAACGGCTTTAAAAAGGCCGGGGCGCTACTGCGCAGGCTTCAGGGGAGGCTGGTTTCCGAGGAGGCGGGCTCTGCGTCCTCCGGTGCCGGGCAGAGCCCCTTGGCTGCCTGGGAACCCGCCCTCCTTTGATCCCGCTCTCCGGATTGTTCGGAGACGCCTTGGAGACGACCCCAGCTGCCAGCCTCCGAGTTTCCGCGGCCAGAGCCTGCACCCAAGCTGTTATAGGAGTACGGCGGGATCAAACGAGTAACAGACATTCTCAGCCGGCAGAGGGGAGGGAGGGTCTCTTTCCCATTCCCTCCGCCCCTTCTCGCGACCCTAGTGGCACATTTTGTGAGGGGCCGGCAGGAGAGACTGGAGGTCCTCGAAAAGGCCCCTCCGGCTCGAAGACACTTGTATCGCGTGGGGATGGACCCTTTCCAGCCCTCCGCCTGGAGCCCGTGCCTGGCAGCCGGAAGGAGCGGGTCGGAGGCCGTCCCCTCTGCCCAAGCCCGACAATGCGTACAGCGGCGCCTCCTTAGGCAGCGCTGGCCGCTCTCAACTCCCTCCCCCGGGTGGTGCTACGCTGTCCCCAGCACCCGGCCAACTCGGCTCCTCCCCTCCTCCCCACTCCAGTCTCGTTCCCGCCGCCTGGCGTCTCGCGTCTCCCTCTCACCTGTGCCGACCACCGAGCGTGCTTTCTCACCCACACTCCTGGGTAGTGCTGGGCAATGGGCCTTGGTGCTTGCAGTCCGGAGAGCGCGTGTCTCCGCGCTCCAGGAATTTTCCGCAGGGCTGGCACCCAGGGACCAGGAATTCGGAAAGATCCTGCCACTTCTTCCCTGTCCGGGAACCCTTCACCTCCTCCCACCTGGTTGTAGGTCACCTGGCCTCAGTCGGAACTGATCTCCTTGTCCTGCCCGCCCGCACCTGAAAGGTGACCTACTTTTTAAAAAAACATTAATATTCACGGGAAAACCGGATCCAAAATATCGATAACCCATTTTTCTTTGAAATACTATTCTATTGCATCACTGCTCAAATGAAAGGTCAATGATTACTTTTAGTTGAAGTGCTGGCTATGAGGAAATTGGGCGAGGAAGGGGGGGAGGAGACGTGAGGCGGTGCACCTCACAAACTTTGCCTGGTGCCCCCTCTGCTGGCTCTGGGAGGAAGCGTAGGCCGGTCCCGTCTGCCCCACGAGGACTCAGGGGATTGGTTTTCTCGATTTTACAGCTTTTTTATTAAATAACTATTCAAATGATAGGCAGGCGAGCAATTCCCAGGTAACCAAGGGCTTTCTGAAAGATGGAAGTCCTGTGCACGTAATCATGTTTTGTTTTTTGGTTTTTGATATGGAGGGAGTGTCTGATGTGAAGGGCAAAGCGAACTGAACCCTAATTAAAACCCTCTTTAAAGTAACTGAAGACTTGCAAGGGTCGTTTACTGTCTCTAGACCCTCGATCTTTTCTACAAAGACTGGATGAGGGACTGGGATGAATGAACAAATCGGATTCCATGTAGAGGTTGTGTACAGTCTGAGACCAGAACCTTTAAGAACCACTACGTCTAGTAGGGTCCACCATGTTCTAAATTATTCCATACGGTTTCTTCTTCCTTGGTAGAGATTCCCAGAGGTAGGGTGTACTCACTCTTCTGTAGTTTACATTAAAAGATATTTTAAAAACATTTTAAAGATAAAATACATTTCTACTTAATTGTCCATTGAAATGAGTCTGCCAGCATCGTTCTTAACGTGCTTTCCTGTTGCCTCCTAACGTGTGCTGTTCCCTCTTTTGCACATGCCGTCTGCAATCCGGGAGTGCCCTTCCCTGAGCGGTGCACAGCCAGTGCTCATCATTCAGGTCTCAGCTCCGCATCACCTCCATGGAGAGTCATTGTCCACAAAGTGTACAGGAAACACAATGCCAGCTGTCGGGGCACCAAACTGGACCAAAGTAGGATTTTTGATTTTTGTTTCTGAACTATTTCTCAGTAATGCCCAACCACTTTTGGGGCCATTTTTAATCCACAAGAAGTACATATAGGAGTCTCTAAGGAAAAAAGGTTTATGGGATCAAGTTAAATTAAAAAGAAAAAGTGAAATAAAACTATTTCAAGCAGTTACCACATTATGAAGTTATGCTTGCATGTGGACAAAAACAGAAGGGAATGTGGAGAAATGAAACAAGTTTTTTTTTTTAGGGTGGCAGGGTATGGGTGAATTTTTAAATTTGACTTTTCTTAACAGTGTTCTAGTATTTTTGATAGTCATTGTTTTCCCAAAATTGCACATAGGCCAGTGTCTTCAATTACCTCAAGGGAATAATGTATAATTTGTAGAGCTTATAACTCCGGTCCTGATGTATCTGTCCCCTGAACTCCAGACCTGCCTCAGTATCACTTTTAAAACTGTGTCAAATGGGCATCTCCAGTTTTATACATTCCAAACTGAGTCCTCATAACTCCTTAAAACAATACCCCCTTAAAACAAAAATAAAAACCATTCCTCCTTCAATCTTCCCCATCTGTGAAAGTGTCAACTCTGGTCTTCGTTTGCACGGGTCAAAAACCTTAAGAGTCATCCTCGAATGCAGTCTTTCTCACACATCCCACATCCCATCTGTCAGCCAGTCCTTTGACTCTGACTTCACAATAAACCCAGAAATGAAGGACTTGCCACATCACCACATACCAGTGCAATTCACCCCATTTCTGCCTAGCTTCCTGCTGTAACTTCCTTCCTAGTATCCTTGTACCCCCGACAGAGCAGTGAGTGATCCTGTTTAAACTAAGTAATTTTATGTCCCTCCTCTGCTCTGAACCAAATGGCTGCATCACACCTAAGTAAAAGACAAAATCCTAAGAATCACTTGCAAATCCTAAGAGCCACCTACAAAATCCAGTCCCATCTCCTCTGCTCTGTTCCTTGATCACTCTGTACCAGTCACACTGGACTCCTTGCTATTTCTAGATCATGCTGCTCTTCCTCCTTCCTCTGGGCCTTTATCTATGCTGTTTCCTCTACCTATCAGGTTCTTCCTTTCAGATATCTGCATGGTTTGCCTCCTCGCTTCCTCAGATCTTTACTGTGTCACCTTTTTAGTGGGATCTGGCCTTATTGCCCTGTTCAGGAGCAACCCTCCCACAAACACTTATCTCTCTTCTCTGCTCTAGTTTTTTCCTTAACACTGATCACTATCTAACCCAGCTTACATTTTATTTATTGGTCTGTTTTCCTGTCTTTATCCCCCACTAGAATGTCAGCTTCATGAGGACATGTATTTGCATTATTCACAGTACCTTAGCATCTTGAGTAGCTCCCTGAGTGTACCAGGCATTCTACGCAATTGATGAATGAGTGAACAGGTGGATGAATGTTTAAGCAGCATAGCTCTAAGGTTGAATTGCCTAGCCCTGGCCGCATGGCTCAGTTGGTTGGAGTGTTGTCCCATATACCAAAAGGTTGTGGGTTTCATTACCAGTCAGGGCACATACCTGGGTTGTAGGTCCCAGCCCTAGTTGGGGCATGTGCGGAGGCTATTGATCAATGTTTCTCCCTCACACTGATGTTTCTCTCTCTCCCTTTCTCTCTCTCTCTCTAAAATCAATAAAACATATCCTGGGCCCTGGCTGGTATAGCTCAGTGGATTGAGCATGGGCCTGTGAACCAGAGTATCGAGGTTTGATTCCCAGTCAGGGCACATGCCTGGGTTGCAGGCCAGTTCCCAGCAGGAGACACACGAGAGGCAACCATACATTGATATTTCTCTCCCTCTCTCCTTCCCTTCCCCTCTAAAGATAAATAATATAAAAATCTATAAATAAATAAATAAATAAAAATAAAACATATCCTCAGGTAAAGATAAAAAAAAAAGTAAAACTGCCTACATATGAATCCTCACTCTGCCACTGCTTGATACATATTGATCTTTGGCAAATTATTTAGCCTCTTAGAGAATGGAAATTACCTTATAGAGGTGTTATGGGAATTAAATGAGATAATCTATGAAAAATGCTTTAGCACTCAGCAAATAATAAAGACTAGCTGTTACTTCAACTATCATCCTTTTACTCTCAGTGAGTTTGGCTTTTTCTGCCTGTAGGTAGAATTATCATGTATCCTACCTTCTGCCTATTTGTCAGCCTCCTGAGACTGCCCGAGAACCTCCTGTGGTTCATTCCCCGGAGCTTGTCTTCAGGTTTAAATTGGTAAAAAGTTATTCCATTTGTTTCTAGATGTTCAAAAATATATCTGTTCTCTTCAGTGGGCCAGCACGCACATGGCTGCAGCAGAGAACTGTCACCGCAGCCAGCGGAGGGACTGGAGGGTGATTTCACTCAGCTAGAGTTTCTTCTGTTGCTTGCATTGAGAAATTGCCAAGGCTTGAAAATCCCCTCAATGTACCAAACCCAAATGGACATTCTTGGTTTGGCAATGCAGATGTTCTAATACTCTAATTGATAAGTAGTCCACACTGAGCTTCTGCCAAGTTGCAGAGAAGTTTTAGTTTTTGTGTTGGGGGTAGTGGAGCTATTGGATAATCCTTTGCTGTTATGTCTGAAGTACTTGTGGGCAGAAGGTATGCTTTTAAGTGACCACCGTCACTTCCTTTTAGAGTTTGTCATCTCACCACCACCACCACCACACACACACATATACGTTCACAGGCACACCATTCTCAGATGCCCAGTGATTCTAGGACCCACTCTTCTGGAGAGCAGGTAATCCAGGCTGGCCGATAGGAATACCCCACGCCTCTGGACACAGTATCACAGGCCAAGAAATTTTTTCTTTTTAGGATTTGATGTAAGTGCTGCAAGAGAAACAGTCCCTTTCCTTCTAGGATGATGAGTAGTAATGACAGTGTAAGCCAACTTTTCTACCACTTGGAGAGGGCCTGTCAAAGAATAAAGGTAAGAGAAAAAAAGTTCAAGTGAGCAGGGAGAGATTCCTGAGCACTTGAATCCAACATGCCTGAAGTTGTGCTGCCCTTGGACTTCTCAGATACAGGAGACGATGAGCTTATTTTTTCCAAACTTGTTTGATTTGGGTTTCCAAAACTTGCGATCAAAGACACTTTCATGAACTGCAGTGGGCTGGGTGTGGAGAGACCCTTGGGAAGGAATGGGATGGAGAACTGGGAAAACAAAGAAGAGAGATACCTTCTACACTGATGGGCATCTCTGACTTTTCCTCCGGTGCTTCTCAGTACCAATTCCCTTCTACAATCTCATTTTTTGTTTGCTTGTTTGTTTTTAATTATATTTTATTGATTATGCTATTACAGTTGTCCTAATCTTTCCCTCTTTGTCCCCACTCCACCTAGTACCCCCCTACTCATTCAGACAATCCCCCCACTATTGTTCATGTCCATGGGTCATGTGTATGAGTTTCTTGGCTACTCCATTTCCCATATTGTACTTTACATCCCCATGGCTATTCTGTAACCACCTATTTGGACTTTTTAATCCCCTTACTTCTTTACCCATTCCCCTATACTCCCCTCCCGTCTGGCAACCATCAAAATGCTCTCCGTGTCCATGATTCTGTCTCAGTTCTTGTTTGCTTAGTTTGTTTTTTAGATTCAGTTGTTGATAGATAGGTATTTAT